CACGATTCCGCGGGGGGGGGGGGGGTGAGTTCGTTTTCGTGTTGATTTTCGAAAATGTTGGGAGCGTTGTTGGAAACCGGTACGAAGCGAGAAAGATAACAGACGGCTAAAGGAAGAGAAGGGCTTGTACGAGAATACGTGCCATAAAACTGCTTAGGTAGTGACTTCGAGAAAAATCGAACGATGACGACGGTCGTTTGTATGTGCTTTTAACGAGCCCTTTATCAATTAGAGAACGAGACTAACGGGGGTAGAACAGCGACAAAGATCATTTCACGGAAGTGCAAAATTCCACACCGGAATACTTTTTTTTTTATGTAACTATTCGTTCGTTTTTGTTACCGCGATTGTTGTTTTTTTTAATTTCAAATTTATAGTACGCGCGACCCGCTCGCGGGAAAGAGAAACTCTATATACGTAAGAGATATTCGAATTGCATGCTGAGACGTGGACGCGTGCCTGTGAATTAAGAGAGAGTGCGCGTGCGAGAGAAAAAGGAGTGCACGAACGAATGAAAGAGAGGGAGAGCGAGAGAGAGAGAGAGAGAGAGAGAGAGAAAATTAGAGAACGATTAATATTCAATGAAAAGAAAAAGTCTATGTTCGTTTCTTCTTTTGTTTTTCTTCTGCGAGTTTTCTCTTCATTTTTGTATACTTAGCAAGTGACTTTTTAGCGTAACCCCTCGTTTCCCAATTTAATAATAATTATTATTATACGATACAAAATATTTTTTATTATATAGGCATTTCAGTTCCTAAATTGGAAATAAAATATCTACCACGAACGATCTCTTTTTTGTTCGAGCGGGCGCAGCTCGACCTGAACGATCATTCGTTCGTGCTATTCGCGCGCGCGCTCTCTTCCGATCCGCTCGAAATCGCTTTCTCGATTTCGATCGCGGAATCGTCGCGGATGCCTGCGAATCTCCGGTAAGTATTATCTTCCGATATAAATTAATTCGCGTCCGATAACAGAATTTCGAGGAGAAAGAACCGCGTCCGACGAACGGAGTCGCGTAAATTCCTCTCGACTCGATCATCGACGGCTCGCGAGATCTTCGAACCCGACGCATCGCGATCGAAGAAAGGGTAAAAAGACTATGGCGCGGAATGCGCGGGCATGAGCCACGAAATATAAAATATCTTTATGGTGGCCATAAACTGATAACCTGTTTAACCAGTCTAGTAATGCCACGGAACAAGAGTGTACGATCCAGCGAAATCGTGTCTCCCGATAATCCTAATCCCATGGCACAGTTTTCCGAGCCGCGCGAGAAATTCATCCCCCGTTTCTTTCCGCGCGAACACCGCGGAACCAATTGCGCAACGATCCGCCCGATTCCTGCGGGATTCGCCCAGAAACCGATGGAAAACGGCATTTCTTTTTCCAAGGCTTCCTTTTGCCAACCGCGAGATGCTAATTCGCTTCTCCGGAGGGCTCGGCGAACTGTACATACTTCGGGCATTAATTATCGGTCGACGACGCGACGCCGCGTCGCGGCGCAGAAAGTTCGATCCAACGATCGAAACTTGGAATTCACCGCAACGTTGCTGGCAGCGTTGCCACGAGACATGCCTAGACGAACATAAACGCGAACGGATCGCACACGCAGGGAGCAGAACAAGGTGGTAGGATGGAATTGTGTTTACTCCTCCACCCACGATGACAATCGGTGTAAACACTCCTGCGCGGGATGGTCGTGCATCGTCGCATGCCAAACCGCCTTTGTGTACGTAGCCAACTGACGCGGATCCGCATTCACAGACGACATTCCCCGAAAACTCGTGGAAATCCTGCCGAGGTGGATGCCTCGTCTTCCGGATTCTGTCTGGCTCCGCTCGCCGATCCGTTCTTTTTTCAAGTCCGCCGGAGTTATGCGAACGCGGATGGCGACTTGAACCACCGCTACTTCGATTCGCGTTCGATTTCATCGTTGCGATGGTCAAACGTACACGAAAAGACCTCGCTACCGTCTTGTCTCGGTTAAATTTGCAGAAACGAAGATCCATTCGGTATTTTTCAACATGATCCGAAGGAATCGCGTTCTCGGAAAAGGTAACACGATCGACGCTCGACTACCGTAAGTTTGGCCGACTTAATTTCATCGTTGCGACATCCGAAAGCTTCGAAAGTGGCCTCTAAAACATCTCGCCAGTGTCCTGTACCAGTAAAAATTGTCAAAATAAAAGATTTCATTCGGTGTTTTTGATCGCGACGCGGAAGAATCGTGCTTGCAAGAAAGACAACATGGCGGATACTCGACTGCCTTAACTTCGTCGAGCTGGCTTAACTTCGTTCCGAGGACAACGAAAAGCTCGGGAACGCTTTCGAAAAGATCTCGGCGGGCCTCTGACGCGGTCGGAACGAGAAAATCGAGGTTCCCGTTCGAAACGGATCGAACAATCGCGTTCCCAGGGAAAACAAGATGGCGGCCGCAGGGTAGCCCCGTAGAATTATTATTCCCATTATGTCCGACCCTCGGTCGGTAACGGAACGACGACTGATACGTTCTCGTAGTCGGCATCGATCGAGGGACACGACTTCCACGGTCGGACCCGGTTGGAGGATCGTGGCCTTCTCGGACGCGAACGAACGTCGTTGCGGTGGCGAACGCGTCGTATCTTCGCGATTCGTGCGAACCAGGGAATTCGCGTAACCGTGGCGAAGCCGTCTTCCGCCCGGTTCTCGCGAACACTTCACCCGCCAGACAATAGTTTACCGTATCGACCTATTCCGGCCCTTCTCCCCGCGCTCGGCCTCTGCCCGCCACCCTCGCGGCGCGACGCGGCAGCTCGTTCCCATCCACCTTCTCGTACCACCCCGCTCCAGCCAACCACGAACTTGCTCTTCTGGCCTTCCCTCCGTGCCTTCCCGCAGATCCAACTTGTTTCTCCGCGCGCCGTGAACTTCGGAGCTTCCGACTCCACTTAGGAACAGCTGCGAACCGATCACGAGCGCAAATTGTACTTTGAACGCTCCTACAGACAGCCGCAACGATCCTAGACGCGTTTCGCAAGCGGGAAGACAGAAGGTGTCTCCGGCAACTCGATCCGAAACTGTTCCGCGAGCACCTTCTTTTGTGCGCGTGTTGATCTTTCGAGGTTCCGTCTCGGGAGCCTTCGATCAGTTTCCGCGCGTAGACGTCTTGATCTAAAAGGATTCCGACGCTGTTCGATTAGGATCTTCATAGGCTTCTGATAGCCCGGATATTTTTACGCCGATGGAATATTCAGTCTTTTCCGTCTGCTCGGTCCGAGATGTCTAAAACGAGCACCTTCTTTCGTATCGATTCTTTCGGGGTTCAATCGTTGAGGTCTTCGGGTCACGGTGTAAGAAGGAGACGTGGGCCGACTTCGTCCCTACTCCTGTGTTCTTAAAGCTTTAGTTTCGATAAAGTCCGCTAGGTGCACTACGAAACTTTTGTGCTTTCCGCGAGAGCTTCCGCCGCGTGTGCGTGTACGCTACAGCGACGCTATTGTAGCTGTACCGTGCTTGTACACGCGTATAACTTAGCGCTACTTCTACCGACGGTGTCGAAAGACATTTTAATAAATGAGAAAGACATTTAATCGTTTCTGTTCAACGCTATATTTTTCCCAAAGGCGTCGGACGACATCTTTGAACAATTTTTAATCAAGATTATTTTCCATGTATCCTATGCACGGTAAATTCTCCCACATTGTCCCTCGGCTCGGATGTAATTAGTAGATGCGTAATTACGTATAATATCGATGCAGCAGACCTCCAACAGGAACGATGTGGGAGAATTTACCGTACCGTGGCGAGGCGAGCAGCTTGTTCGGTCTCGCGCGCAGCTCGCTCACCTCGGGACCCGTGGTTTCCGAAGGTCGAGATTTGTTCCGAAGTTTGTATGAATGAAACTTATCCTAATATCTCCTGCGAAACGGCGTGCGGCTTTCTTCGGACAGTTCTGGTCCGGGGTTCGGCTTTGGATAAGAGTGCGGAAAGTCGACCGGGGGCCGAGGGGACGCGACGGGGTGGCACGTGCGGCCAGAGGGGCGAGGGCGAGGGCGAGGGCGAGGGCGGAGGGAACGGGTCGTTTCAGCTCATCCGGATCGTTTCAGACCAGGGTCAGTGGAACGTGCTTGTGTACGAACTGTCCGCAACTGTCATTCACCTCGCGGCTGGCCACGCGCTCGCGGCACCAGACATTTCCGCGCGGTTTCGCGGGAAAAACTTGTCACCGAGGGGGAGGGAAAAATCGAGTCGCCTGGCCCGATGAGTTTTTGCGGCGGCCGACCGTTTTTTTACGGTGATTACAAGTCGGCCGACACGGGACTTTTCGGTGGAACCAATTAGCACGGTCGCCTGTCCGGTTAGCCGGTTCCGACGACCGGCCGCCATCCCGCGTGCTGCGATTTTTTGTCCACGGTACACAAATTGCGAAAGTATGCGGGAAGATCGAAAGCGGCCGGAGACGTTTATTTTTCGGTTCGCCACATTTTTCACAGCGGAGAGAAGCGACCAAGTTCGCGTTGAAATTGTAGAATTTTTTAATTCAACTTGGAACGTTGGAATAAATGAAATTTATGCGAGCCTCCGGAACTTCTTGTAAACTGCAGCGACGAACAAATCTTTACGTCGGTTAGACATAAATAAATATAGGAGACGCATCTATTTCCTGACACATTCCACCTGGATCGCGCGTTTGCCTCGCGCTTCGTTCAAAATCCGCGGCGGTGCCGGAAGAAGCGTGTCCGCGAACTTCGGCGGCATCGAACATTCGCGATATCCATCGGCAACTTTGGTGCATTCCGTTGCACTTAACCACCGCGCATAACGACGGATCTGGAAACATCGGCGACTCGGTTTCACGGTGCTCCGTCGCGTTAACGACGCGGCACCGGCATTCACCGCGAACACCGTCGACGCATTCGAACGTCGCCGAGGCAGACCCGAAGGCGAATAGTGAAAATCAAAAGAAGGGAAAAAAAAGGGAAAAGAGGGACACTTGTGCGCCCGTGTGTCTCGTTTCTGTTCGCGGCCGTTCGAGCCTCTAATTACGCGTGTATCGCTCATCGAGCTTCCGCGTGAAAAGCTGCCCTCGTTAGCGAGACGTCGGGCGCGTCGACGTCGACGCTCGACGCTGAACGCTCGACGCCGTTTTCCCCGGCGCGGCCGGGTGGCACGCGTCGCGTCTCCCATTCCGGCGGACGCATCGGCTGTCACTGAACGCGACTTTTCACCGTCTCGGCGTTATAAAAGGCGGCCATGTTGACCCCGAATCGGCGGGTTATCGAATCGTGCCTTCACCGACGGATAGCCATCGGGATGCCGTGCCGCGTGCCGCGTGCCGCGCGCTCTGACACACAGTGTGCGCCGGCGACGCTCGCGTGACAGCCGGCCTATGCGCGCGGTTTTCACCTGCACAGGCTGCGGCCTTGAGCAATTTACCGTTTCGAAACTGCGAGCCTCCCGATCCTCGTGTCGGATGCCCAGAAAACCGAGAAACCTGCCGACGAGGCCCGAGCTGCTTCGAGACGCGTCCACGATGCTCCGCTAGTTTGGAATTCGACGGCGTTCTCCTTACAGGTATACTCCTCTATCTACCGATCAATCGCGACGCTTATCCGAGATAACGCGTCTCTCGTTTCGGTCGCTATCTCCGACCATCTTCTTTCGGAAAGCTTGTTTTCCAGGACGGACGATCGTTCCAAGTAGAATTCTCGGCACTGATTTCGATATCCTTGAAACATGTTGTCAAGGTCGTTGTTTCGGACGACTGTTCCCATTGCTGCTCCCGTTCCAAATTTGTCCACGTTCCATGGGGGTGAAAACGACTCACCTACAAAAAGACAAGAGATAAGGAATCTTCTGCACGCAATTAAATCGTTCGCATTAACTTCGTTTCGAGGGAGACGACGAATTTTGGCAGATCGGATCGTTGGTTGGTCGGTGGCTCGAGACCTGCGTTACTTTTCTATCCTATCGCCGGGGTAATACGGTAATCTAGGACTCTATTCCGGACGATTACCGCGAGAGACGTCCCGAGGCCAATACCGTGAACTCTATGTACACTTCGGAGAACTATGTGCCCGGGAAGATCAGCCGCGGCGAACAATTAATTGTTATGGATCCGGATGTATGTCTTCCCGAAACTCGTTCCAGCGTCGCGACGACCTAAGTGCCTCGTGGCACGATCTACTTTGTGCCCGCGGTGGATTCGTGTCAGCGGCCGTGCTGTAAACCGCTCGAACCTCACGGTTCTCGTAAAACTGTAGAAAGTACCGCCGATCCGTGCAACTTCCGGCCCCACGGTGAACTAATCTTCTCCATTTTCTGGCGGCTCTGCGGCCGAGAACCCGAACCCGAGCGAGCCGTGAGGTAGGTCGGCGGCACTCGGTTTCCCGTTCGACGCCGGCCTTTCTATTCGAGCGACTCGTCGGCGAACAAGGAAGCATAACGCCGTCGCGTCGCCGTCGCTGCTGCCCCCAGACGTAACCGCATTAGCGAGAAATCGAGAAAAATCAGCCGGGCGCCGTTTCGGTTACGCCGACGCGGTCCGAGCGGCTTTCAGCGTCCACAATGGACCATGTCGAACCGTTCTCACCAATTAAAAAGTTCGAGATCGAAGTTCAAACGGTCCCTGAAACTTCCCTTTCGCGTATTTCCTTGCGGCGGGCCAGCTAACTTGGCTCGAAAGCGTTCTCCGAACGTTTCGCGATACGAAATTCCGAACGACCGAAAGATACATCTTTTATCGCTTTCGCGATTTGCTGTTTTCCTTTCATAAAATAGAGTAGCACGTGAACTTTCAACCCCTCTGGAAGGGGTTGAAACCCCAACCTCTGGGCAGTGCAACATGCGTGCGTAATTTTTTGAACCGCCCATGCAACAAAATACATCGTGACTCGCTAAAGTAATCGAGAGAAAATTTGGTTGAATCGTAAAAGTACTATAAAATTGTACTAAAAAATACTATATCGTATCGTTGCAGCGTATTCGGAAGCGTTTCAAATATCGAGGAACACGAAACAACGAAGCATGTCAAAATCAATCTTCGATCGCCGCTTTGGTAATTACCCTTTTAAAAAGTGGAGTAATTAACGGTACGCGAACTTTCAACCGGCCGAGAAGGTTTCGACTGCCGAAAACTTGCTCCGACTTTGGAGAGGAGCGCGCGGCTTTGTGCGCGGCGTTTCGAAAACGAGGCTGTCGGCAATGTTCGGTGTCTGCGAAGATGGTAGGGGGGTGGTTTCCGAAGCTTAGAAGGCCTCCTGGCGTCGCATCGCCGCCTAATAGAATGACTGGTCGTCCGACCACCATAACCTCGGCGACCCATCGACCCCCGTTATACGTTCCTGGGATAAACGCAGGGAGAAAGACAGGGCGGCACAGGGCGAGGGAGGGAATCGGTGGATGGAAAGAGAGCGAGCGGGTGGGTCGCGGGAGTCGGGGGCAGGGGGGGGGCAGGGAAAGGTGCAGGAGGAGGAAGAGGGTGGGCAGGGTCGAGGGTGAACCCCTTATTGATTTTTAGGGTGACACTGTCAACCGGCGAGTGTTGAGTCCCCCGCGACGGGAGAGACTTTGAAGCCGACGAGGAGCGAGAAAAAATGTGGCGTCGGCCGCGCCATTGCACGCGCGAAAAAGCAACCCTCGCGGCTCGGCGGGCCAGGATCTAGGATGACCGGCCGATCGGCCAGGATCCTGTCCACGATCCCCGGTGTCGCACGATACTCTGCTCGGAGCCGGAGGTTTTTTCGTCGTGGAAAAGTGGTGAGTGCGGCGTCGGCGTCGGCGGCGTCGGCGGCGTCGGCGGTGACAGAAAAGAGTAACTGTGGCGAGGCGCAGTCCCGTTGCGGTCGGGTGTGCAGCTCTCGGCGCAGGGCCGTACGCATCCGTGGGCGACGCTCCACGTGGAAACGGCTTCCTCCACCGCGTCGCGACGCGGCGTCTTGCATGTTTTCCAACGGCGACGGCGGCGTCTTAGTTCTCGGGAGGTGGACAAACCGCGACCGTCGTCGGCCCCGAATCGCTCCCATTCCTCATCGACCCTGGTCTCTCTCTCTCTCTCTCTCTCTCTCTCGGTCCTTCCATCTATTTTTTCCCTTCCGTGCTCGCGCGATTCCACGACGCCGCACACCGAGAAGCGAGGCGACGCTAGGCGACGCGACGCTAGGCGACGGTAGGCGACGCGACGCGACGAGTCGTCCATGAATGAGCAGCGAGTGACGCGTGTGTTTCTCGTAATTGCCTTTCGTGCTCGATCGCTCCTCGACGTCCCCGCTCTGGTAACAACGTGTGTCCATTGTGCCGCCACGCTTTCTGCCTACGGCCAGGTAGACACCCGCGACTTTCCAATCGCAGTGTGCTCCGAAAGCTTCGAGGTTGGAGCCGCGTCCGGAGAGCTCGTCGCCGGTGTTCATTCATCCTCCCCTTCGTCGCCCCTCCGTCGAGGGGTAGGGGGTGAGAACGTTCGATTGAGAGTCCGAAGAGGGAGGACAACAGGGGTGCGAGGAACAGGGTGCAGAGAGTGCCGGACTTGGTCGGTTGCAGCTGTCTGTGTGCCACGCGATTGTTTTCTCTCGGCGGACTCTCCTCCCTCTCTCTCTCTCTCTCTCTCTCTCTCTCTCTCTCGCACACACACACACACACACTCTCTCTCACACTTCTCTCGGTTGTTTACAAATCGACGGGTGCTGCACTACCGTTCGGCTGTGCAGGTCGTGTACAAACACACGGCGTCGTTGCTTGCATGCAACAGGCGACACCGCGTTGCCGAAGTTTCCTCCTGATTAATCGATCGGAAATTACAGTCGGTCCACCGGCGATAACTCTCCGGGATTCGAATTAATCGCGCGCGGGGACACGCGCCGAGGCCGCCCGCCGATCGACGGACAGAGGAACCCGAGAAAGGTGTCGAAAGGTCGGCCGGACCTTGTCTACTTCGCGGCTGGCCGAGGGAGAAAAAAGAAAGTCGGCGGACAGAGTCGCGACCGGTGCACGCAAGTGCAGGGAACATCGGTTCGAGCCTCGCGTAATTACGCGTAGGTAGCTAGAGCGCGGCTTAGAATCAATACGAAGGGATTACCTTCGCCGCCGGTTGAAAAGGGGGATCGATGGGAACCGAGAGAGGACCGTGGTGCCAGGACCAACGGAGTTAAAGGATCCTCGGAGTTTTCTGCGGTGTGTGCGACACAGGCGACGCAGGAGGACTGTGTGTTACCCCCGATAGGGTGGTCGGGGTATAGCCCCCGGTGTGTTTGGGCGGGGTGTCGGGCACTCGTTGCCGCCGCGCCGCGTTGGCCCATGCAGCCAGCTTGCTAAAAATGGCAGCGTCGTTCGGGCTGCACCCGTGGAATAGCATTTACTGGCTGCGTCCGAGGAAGAAATCCAGTTGACGCTAGGGTACCTAGGAGGGACCAGTGGCGAACACGTGGTCGGTTACCGAAGCCAGCTAGGTGCCAGGGGTGCGTGTGTCCGCTAGCTACGACCCTGGCGCACGTGCGTACGTGTACCTCCACCTTTCTGGTCCTCGGCAGCCCGAGTGCACGTGTGAGTGACAAATGCGCAGCGAATGCGTGGTGAAAGTGCCGCGGGCAAAAGGCTAGTGACTCGTCGTCTTCGCGATTCTAACGGACCCCGACACGGGATCCCGTCCACCCGTTTGACAGACGAGACTTTGACGTCTCGGCGACTCGCGACTCGCAGCAACACGCGACACGCGCAATTCGCGAAGCGTCGCGATGTCCTCTCGGAGCATCGTCGTCCGCGTTCGAACCGATCGATGATAACCGAAGAACGAACGCGAACGTTCTCGTCGCGGAAACGGTGAGCGGTGAAGAATACGTTTCTCGGTGGTTTACTTACTCGTTTCGTCGTTCGGGAAAGTTTCTTTTGTCCGCGGACGGTCGGGTCAGGCTCGTCGGAGTAAATAGANTTCTGCCTACGGCCAGGTAGACACCCGCGACTTTCCAATCGCAGTGTGCTCCGAAAGCTTCGAGGTTGGAGCCGCGTCCGGAGAGCTCGTCGCCGGTGTTCATTCATCCTCCCCTTCGTCGCCCCTCCGTCGAGGGGTAGGGGGTGAGAACGTTCGATTGAGAGTCCGAAGAGGGAGGACAACAGGGGTGCGAGGAACAGGGTGCAGAGAGTGCCGGACTTGGTCGGTTGCAGCTGTCTGTGTGCCACGCGATTGTTTTCTCTCGGCGGACTCTCCTCCCTCTCTCTCTCTCTCTCTCTCTCTCTCTCTCTCTCGCACACACACACACACACACTCTCTCTCACACTTCTCTCGGTTGTTTACAAATCGACGGGTGCTGCACTACCGTTCGGCTGTGCAGGTCGTGTACAAACACACGGCGTCGTTGCTTGCATGCAACAGGCGACACCGCGTTGCCGAAGTTTCCTCCTGATTAATCGATCGGAAATTACAGTCGGTCCACCGGCGATAACTCTCCGGGATTCGAATTAATCGCGCGCGGGGACACGCGCCGAGGCCGCCCGCCGATCGACGGACAGAGGAACCCGAGAAAGGTGTCGAAAGGTCGGCCGGACCTTGTCTACTTCGCGGCTGGCCGAGGGAGAAAAAAGAAAGTCGGCGGACAGAGTCGCGACCGGTGCACGCAAGTGCAGGGAACATCGGTTCGAGCCTCGCGTAATTACGCGTAGGTAGCTAGAGCGCGGCTTAGAATCAATACGAAGGGATTACCTTCGCCGCCGGTTGAAAAGGGGGATCGATGGGAACCGAGAGAGGACCGTGGTGCCAGGACCAACGGAGTTAAAGGATCCTCGGAGTTTTCTGCGGTGTGTGCGACACAGGCGACGCAGGAGGACTGTGTGTTACCCCCGATAGGGTGGTCGGGGTATAGCCCCCGGTGTGTTTGGGCGGGGTGTCGGGCACTCGTTGCCGCCGCGCCGCGTTGGCCCATGCAGCCAGCTTGCTAAAAATGGCAGCGTCGTTCGGGCTGCACCCGTGGAATAGCATTTACTGGCTGCGTCCGAGGAAGAAATCCAGTTGACGCTAGGGTACCTAGGAGGGACCAGTGGCGAACACGTGGTCGGTTACCGAAGCCAGCTAGGTGCCAGGGGTGCGTGTGTCCGCTAGCTACGACCCTGGCGCACGTGCGTACGTGTACCTCCACCTTTCTGGTCCTCGGCAGCCCGAGTGCACGTGTGAGTGACAAATGCGCAGCGAATGCGTGGTGAAAGTGCCGCGGGCAAAAGGCTAGTGACTCGTCGTCTTCGCGATTCTAACGGACCCCGACACGGGATCCCGTCCACCCGTTTGACAGACGAGACTTTGACGTCTCGGCGACTCGCGACTCGCAGCAACACGCGACACGCGCAATTCGCGAAGCGTCGCGATGTCCTCTCGGAGCATCGTCGTCCGCGTTCGAACCGATCGATGATAACCGAAGAACGAACGCGAACGTTCTCGTCGCGGAAACGGTGAGCGGTGAAGAATACGTTTCTCGGTGGTTTACTTACTCGTTTCGTCGTTCGGGAAAGTTTCTTTTGTCCGCGGACGGTCGGGTCAGGCTCGTCGGAGTAAATAGAGGAGAGGAGTAGAGTGGCGCCACCTGCGCTCCTACGCTCCTAGTTCGCAGGCTGGTCTGTTGACTCTGGTGGTGTTTATTCGCGCTTCTCCCGTCGCTCTCTCTCTCTCCCTCCCTCTGGCGCACCGGGCCATTCGTGTGTTTGGAGGATGTGTCGCGATATTTTGTTGCAATGTGACGGCAAGATGAATGAAGATTAGCGGTGATGTCGGTGCTGTGCACGCGCCTTGCTGCGTCCGGGTGCGCGCTCCGGCCTTGTCCAGATCGGCCGTGAAACCTCTTCGAACAGGTTCGTGGATCAGCGTGAAGATGCCGGCAACGCGAACGTACAGGTGCCCATTGTTGTCGCCGGATTATAGACTTTTCTCGCGAGACTGCCGCCGAGGACTCGACAAAGAACTCGTCGATCCTGTGCCGTGAGTTAACAGTGTTTCGAAGAACCCACCGCAACGAAACCGCGTATCGCGTTTCGTCGCCGTATAGGTTAGGTTACCGGCACATAACCTGCAAGCTACCACTGTGGCCAGACCCGTTTACTCGGCAAAGGACTGTCCTGGCCCCGATTTAGAACACTGTTCCACGAAACGATACCCGCACAGTGCTGATTCCTGCCGCAGTGGGCGATCGGTGCAATGGAATGAGCTGGGTGACCGCAGGACAATGAAGGCCAATGGGACAAATAATGGTGATTTACGCTTGATTGTTGGCTTACTAGGGCTTTCCAGAGCTTGCAACGAGCTTCCGTTAGTCTCGCTACCGACTATCTACTTCGCTAGGTTAAGATATTGCTGCGAGCCAAGCCATTGTTTACATTACGAGCGTAAAGGTTGTCCATGCACGTTGCACGGTACACGACGATGTATTTTAAGTGGGAATTATTGTTAGTCTTTCGTAGACAGGTCGATAGACGTATAGGAATCTTTCGTTGTTACGGATATATTAAATTATCGAAGTAGGAGCTTTACGTGTAAGCTAGAGAAATATAGTTAAGGTTTATCCGAGTCCGACGAGGAGTATCTAGGTACGACGTATCTGCATAGGCGGTGCGACAGCTAGTTAGTATTATCTGCTATTATCTAGGTCATGTATAGAGTTAGTCTAGTAAGATTACCATCCTAGGAGACAGATCGACAGAGTCAATTTTATGCGATATCTCTTGTTCCAGTCTTTCGACGAGACTCCTCGCTATAATTGTAACGTACTCGTTACTTAGTTTAGTCGTTCGTATTTACTGTCGTGCAAATATCATACGGGGGTAAAGCTTGTGGCTTCGAGGGTAGATTTCTGTATAAAAAAACCTTAGCTAGAAGATTAACCCTTAGATTGTTGGCATAATGCCGTACGGAGTCGCCAATATTGTAATATATTTTGGAGAACAGTTCTCCTTTTTTTTATACGATTTGTGAGAAAAAATGTTAATAGATAGCCACGCTGTAAATAATTTTCCCGTGAGCGAAAATAACGCACGAGCAAATAAAAATAGGTCGGAATAAATTATCCGTAACTTACGGAATCACTCGATCTTGTGTTTTTTTTTCGTTTTACTAACAATTTGATAAAAAAAAACAATTATTATCTCTCCAAATTGGACGTAGGTGAAAATAATGAACCCCATGTTTGAAGTAGCTAAATGCTCGTGCATTACACAAAATAAGTAATAAAAGAATACCTTTCCTTGTTTTCCTTGTTTTCCTTGTTTTCCTTGTTTTCCTTGTTTTCTGCTCCCAAGTAATTTCAAAATTAGAGAAAGTTATCTTAGAGTCGTTGTCCAATAGATTAGTCCTATCGTTTAAAAAACAAATTCGAGCCGTTATTTCAGTTTCAAAATAGTTGTATCGTTTCAAAGGGTGCCACAGGTATGTGCACCCCCGCCAATAGGTATGTAGATATTTCCTTAATTAATATAGTTATCTAAAAAAAAGTTATGAAATTATCGATGAATATTATTACGATTATCGTATAGTACTTATTAATTAATAGCGTTAAGTGTCCAGGGACTTACGAACACGGCTGTATTTTGTCGCTCGCTGTGTCTATATGGCTGCCACTTTGCGTAGAAATATTCCGGGAGGAAACTCGGTTAGATTTTTAGCATGAAAATGCCGGCAGTCCAAACGTTAACCGGTTCGGGATTGATTGCAGGCTGTAGCCGCCTGAACACGCCATTGGCAGCCACCACCACGCTGGAGGATCCGGGAACACCAGCCTCTTGGAAGGGCCCGCCACCCGGTTCGGAGGCGTCGCCCTTTACACCGAACTCCGTCGGCCAGGGTGGAGGTCCAGGGTCCGGTCCCTACAACAGTACAGGTGGCCCGCCCAGCAATGCGGCCTTCCAAGGTCCTAGCCCGTTTCCCGGTGGTGCTGGTAGTCCAGCGGGTGCGCCGCCTTATCAGGGCCCACCACCCGGGTCCGCGACCCCTCAGTACACCGCCTCGCCGGCCCCAAGTGGTTCCTCGACACCCGGTCCGGGACCACCGCCGAATTCCGCGGGTTTTCCGCCACCGCCGAACAATTCCGGGCCTCCGTACAACGGGCCCGGGCCCAGCCCGTTCGGTTCGCCTTCCGGTGGGCCTCCGCAGTTCGTCGGCAGGCCAGGTTCCTCGGGGCCGCCGTTCGTTCCTCCCGGAGCCGGTAACCCCCACTTCCCGTCCCATGGACAGCCTTTCGGCGGACCCCAATACGGAATGCCGCCCGGAAGCCCGTTCGGACCTGGACATCCGATGACAGGACCTATCGGACCCGGTCACCCTGCCATGATGGGACCCGGGGGACCTGTGGACAGGATGGACCAAGGGTGAGTGAGAACGATTCATTCATAAATCCGCCTGTCCGAGGAACAGCTTGCGGCAACCCTTGCGCCCAGACTCTCCTTGAGAATCTGGAGGATCGATAGCGCCTATAAGTCCGCGTGGCGAGTCGATAAATAAATTACCGACTCGCTTCCTTTGCCAACTGGTCCGACAATGGTGCCGTTTTCGCACTTCGGTGTTACCGCGTGCTTTTGTTTACCGACTCGTCGGAGCACTGTTGCACGATCTAGCTCGTTGCTAAGCTGTCCCTCGCCACGCGGCCATTTCCATCGATCTGGAACGCTTCCGACCATGAGCCACGATCGACACCGCAGAGTAAAAAGCGCAGCAGTTGTTCTTTCGCAATGTCTTGTTTCAATTAAATATCTTCCGAGGCATGACAATGGTCGGAAGCTCTCCAGGAGGCTACAGTGTTCTAGTCGCCACCGGCCCACGCTGGGCCGATGCGACCAAGTTGTGTCCAAATCGAAGGATTTCTGATTGCAATCGAATGAAAACGTGATTTATCCGATACCATGTGTTGGAGAACTCGAGGTTCTTTAAGCGTTAAAGAATTACTCGTGTCCCGCGCGATAGATTGTAGAGCGAGATTGGTAGGAGGGGTTCTATGTGACTCGGAAACGCTAAAATTTTACCCCAAAGTTTCCTTATTAGGGTAGCATTCCTGCTGGTAAGATGTTTACATATAAGGTAAGTCCAAACGGTTTTATTGTATTAATTTTACTTGATCCGGTTATGGACAGATCTGTGCACTATTTACGAAAACATCTATTAGCTATCCGGAAATCCAATAACATCGTATCCGCGATCGCTGCAGAGTTAAACCGCTGCAATCCTTCAAATCAGTGTGTCAAAATCTACGAGAAATAATAAAAAAATCCAACTGTACATGGCATTGGATGAATCACAATTTTGTCGCGATAGTTCAAGTTTGACGCAAACGTTCAAAGTTAAAGAAATGTTCATAATAAATTCTCTCAATTTTTCTCTTATTCTACGACGTTTTAGCTTCGATGTAAAAAAAGCTGCATCGCTTTATCTAATTGCAATCGAAAGTTCTTCGATTTCGGCACAACTGTTTCATTCAGCCCCCAATGTGGGCCGCGGATCGAGCCCTTCTCGGGCGCACGAATATACCGTGGCCGCTTCGTCCGTGCATGCCTAAAAGTCCCCTGATCCGCGTTCGTCGATCGGTTACCGGTTACCGAATCGCGTAGTCGATAGATTCGTCGGGATTCGTTCCGGACCGCGATCGATGTTCCATCGTGTCGACAGCGTGCTAGGCAGGGTACGCGTGTACCATCGTCGCCGCGTGAAACGCAAGGGCGCAGCTTAGCGGAGCGTCCGACTTTGTTGGGCCGGCAACATTCCTAGATAACGCGGTCCACAGGTAGCGACTACGTTATTTATCACTGGACTGCCGGTTGGTCCGCATTCTTGCCGATAATCCCGCGTCTCTGCCCTTTGGGAACGGTTTCCGATCGTTCGGTCTTGTCGTCAATGCTCGGACAACTCGTTCTCGAAATCAGTAACACACGGGTCGAGGTTGTCCGGACGGTTCGCCGCGATAAAAGCTACAGATGTTCCCCGGCATGAGAGTTGTCGGTGTTGCGCGTCGGCGGTGAAGCCGCAGATAGCCGGCCGAGGCAGCGGCTTTCGGGACGTGTCACCTGTGGGCCTGCATCATTTACTTGTTCAGTTTCTAGTCGCCTAGCTTCGAAACGATTGCTCCCACCGACAACCTTCGTAATTCGGTGATCGATATCGATCGGTAATTTCCGACCCGGATAGGCCGATTCGATCGTTCGTTCTTCGGATATTCCGCTAATTCCTTAGGAAAAGGGTTGATCGCTGTTTCACCCTATTTCATCCGAGTTTGAATAATTGATATCTCACCGCGGTAGAAAAATTCGACGAGTTTTTTTATATAACCCGCAAAGGATTGGTCTCCCTGTACCCTCCCCCGCCCTCCCCCCCCCCCCCCCCCCCCCCA